TACAGTAGCCTACAATTTCAGTAAATACAGTGCAACCCTTTTACCATTTTTTTTTTAATTAAAATGAAGTTATTGAAACTTTAAAGAAAATAATTCAACTTGCAGGCAAATATTTTTATAACATTTTCGTAATGTGCTGTTTGCAGAGCTGTCTGTTACTGGGGGTTAAGGGGAGGTAGGGGAACTTCCCAAAAGCAATTATGTCCTTACCATACAGACAACTTAATCTTTTCTTAAAGAAAAAGCTGCATATTTATTGAATGTTTTTAGAAGACAGTACTTACTCTTCATCCAGGCCAAGAGAACGGCCAAAGAGCATTTCCAAAAAGCACTCAACAACCTCTTGAGTTCCTTGGTGAAGATACAATTGGTTGGCTAGCAAAGAGAAGCCACGATTCTTTAAGAACTTCTCCTTTTGTTCCCTAGTTGCTCTGTTGAAATATGCATCTAAAAACTAGAGAGAGAAATACATAGTTTTGATTCAAGATTAAATATTTGGGCGATTTATTTTCTTGGAAGTTAAAAAGTTCCTCTATTGTACTGCTTGGGAAAGAAAGTCAAACTTCAGAGTCTTTTCAGACTCCAAATTAATGGTCAAATTCTTCCAACTGGGCTTGCAATTTCCACTGATTTCATTACATTCAAGAGCAAAAACTTTATTTTAGGAGTTTACACTATAGCATCACCTATTGTAAGGAACACAAAATAAAAGATTCATCAGGTAAATGAAAAGCTGGCTTTAAAAAAAAAAAAAAGAGAGTCTATTTTAGATTAAAAATTTATATCTACATTGTTACGATTTGATTTTTTTGTAGTGTTGCTACTTTTTAAATCTCCTCTCAAATCTCCCTTCACAAATGTAAAGCAAATACTACCCTAGACGTGCCTTAAGCACAAAGTTCTCCTTCATAATTAGAATAAAACTACTGAAGTTAGCTTGAATCTTGAATTTCATGCTCAGGAAACAGCCTGGTTCACTTTAATGGGAAGTCCAGGTGAAAAAGCAGTTCATGACTGACAGATTGGTAATGAATACCCAAAGAAATATGAGAGTTTCGCTAGCAATTTTTATAAATATTTTTATGCACTAAGCAGATTGAAGGATGATCATTTTCCTATAATGCTGATCACATTTTACAAGTTTCTTTTATTCCCATCATGATGGTCTTGTATTTGTTTTGTTATCCCTAACTTTAACTAAAGTACATAATGTAGACTTAGACTCTCTATTAATGATTGATGTATATAGAAAACATTAAATTTCTTCTCCAAAAAATTTCTTAAAAGTTTAGATGCAAATCAACTCCATTTTTATAGTGTATACATTTAGAGGATTAAAGCAAAAATAAGACTTATTTCTAAAAATGTGAATATTAAAGAACAACTTAGTTCAAAGTTATATTTGCACAAATGAGGTCGTTTGTAATAGTCTTAGCTTTAGAACTTTAAAATTTTATGTATTCCTACTTTAATGACTCCTTGTTGTATGAGAGGTGATGGATGGTTCACAAGAACTATAAGAGTATCAGGCTGAATAAATTTGTCCATCACATCTTCTAGCATGATATCAGGCAGGATTAAAAGTACTCCACGCAAGAGGTCATATAAACCACAACATATAAGCACAAGAAAATCTTCTGTGGACCTGAAAACAGAGAAGTGTGTGTTACTGCTACAGTTATTGAATTTCCCACTGCTGTAAATACTAGCCTGTTCCTACGACAACACTGGCTGATGACTAACAAAAGGCATTTCCCCACAATCCCCTCACTACTGTTCTCTCATTCTATTTCTTGCAGCACTGCTTTGCCTATATAAAATCAGTGGAGGGCAATATGAGCAGACTGCTATGATAATAGTGCCTCAAGGCATCAAATGAGTTCAGGGCCCAATTGTGTTGGGTACCCTGTAAACACAGACAATTCTAGACCTTAAGCCAGTTGTTCTCAACCTCATAAGACTCAAGGCACACTTCAGAAAATGCCAGCTCTTAGCTTTCAGCCTGGTTGAGAATTACTGCCTTAAGGATACGCAAGCAAAATAAAGCACAATTTGTATTACAAGTAATCTGACAGACTACTGATAGTTTAAAACATAATATATACGATATCTGCTAGACTTCTTTTCAGACAAACTTAAGACCATAAGAAGTGTCATACTGCATCAGACCAATGATCCTTCTAGCTTAGTATTCGCTCTCTGACAGTGGCAAAAGTGTATGCTATAGAAGGAGAGCATTGAACCAGACATCTGTAGTGATCTATCACCTATTCAATGTCCATCCTGGCATCCACCAAATATTTGGAGAACATCCACTAAAAGCATTTAATGCTATTGCAGAAGTTACAGTACAAAGAATATTTTTTCAATGTTAAGTCTACTCATTTTCTAATATGATATGCATACCTATCATCAAGGCTTTCAGATTTTTTAAGGGTCTGCTCACTGACTGAAGAAAAGTTAAGACCTTCCCAGTCTTCAGGAGGCACATTCTTGTCTGTCAGGCTCGGCCAGCGAGACATGGTTGATGGCCCACTATGAGCAGAAAATGCTAAACCCAAGCCTGGGAAATTATTTTGACTTTTCTGAAATGAAGGCAGCCCCTTCAGATGGTCAGGACGGCGCAATGTTGATTCAGTATCACCACCATCCTCATTAGGTTTCAGATCTGCATTAGCTTCTTTGCTGTCAGGTGCATTAGCAGACAGTTCTTCTTCTTTTGGAATGTCAACAAATATTTCAGCAGATGTTAACTCTGAATCACAAACTGTTTTCGCAGACTCACAGCTGCTGATAAAAAGTTCCTCCTGCACCCTTTTTAAGGTTTCAGAACTTTCCATTAAAGTGATTTTTTCCTGTAGATTAGTCCTTCCTCCTCCAGCTTCCTGCAGGTGATCAATATTCTTGCCCAAACTCCCAGTTAGCCTTTTTGGATGCATTTGTGGTGAGGAAGTAGGAGATGCAGGTAGGCTTTTGCAACGCCGTTCCTGAGAGCCCATTAACTGTGGCACACTAACCTTGGAAGCAATACCTCCTAAGAAAGTAAACAAAAAGAAAATTCTTAACATCTATTTTGCATTAGAGATAATGCCTTCCCTAGAAGCACTACAATTCTTTTTCACCATCTGACAGATATGCAAAATGGACTCTTTTTTTTTTTAAATCATAAGAGTCTCAATTTTCCTCTTAACCCACACATTAAAAGTCAGCTATAAGACAGAACATATTCCTTTGGCATAAAAATTCACATTTTAATAATAAAGCAGAATATTCAGTTTAGATATAGCTTAAAACAATTTAATTGCTGTATTCATGGTCTTCATTCTCACAGCACAGGACGGTTTTTCTTTTGTTTCAAAGATGAGAATTCATCTTAAATAACCATGCAAGTCATGCAATAATCAGAAGCAAATGGCAAATTCTAGAAGTTGTGCTCTGTTATGTCTCATCCCTTCAATTATGTCCAACGGAAATAAAACCCCTAATATAGCCAGGTTTTAAAAAACATTGTTAGAGCAAATGCCAGAAGATGGTAGACCGCATATGAGGGAAAGCATGACATGGTTAGCATTTATATGATACTTAAGAGACTGTAGCATCTTATAATCCTGCAAGTGAAAGGCTTGTCACTGTTTTGACAGTCAACCCTCAGTCTAGCAAATAAATAATATGTGAAGAGCCAATTTGTAATGCCATTCCTGAGCTAAGCATTAAACACTACATATAAATAAAAATGTATTATGCATGCCATGTATATCAATGCATGGCTGTGCAGGTGGTATTGCTAGCAGGGATTCGGCTTCTTTGACCATGTAAATGTTGTTCCAAGAAGGAACGCTAGGAAGACACAAGATCCACCTAATGAGAGGAAAAAGCATCTCTGCAGACAGGCTTGCTAACCTGGTGAGGAGAGCTTTAAACCAGGGTTTGCAGGGGGAGGGAGATGAAAGCCCTGAAGTAAGGGGGGAAGCAGGAGACCTGGAGGAAGCACAAGGAGGCGGCAGCAACAGAGGAAGTCTTCTCATTCTTACTAAGAAAGTAGGGCAATCAGTAGTTACTTCTGGTGTCAGTACACGACCACAGGGAACCTGAGAAACAGGCAGGAAGAAATGGTCCTTACACAGTCAAGGAACTGTCATGTAACTGGAATAACAGATACTTGGTGTGATAGCTCGCATGACTGGAGTACTGTCATGGATGGGTACAAACTGTTCAGGAAGGACAGAGAAGGGGAGAAGAGGAGTTGCACTGTATGCAAAAGAGCAGTATGATTGCTCAATGCCTGTTGAACATCTCTGGGTTAAGGTAATAGGAGACAGCAACAAAGGGTGATGTTGTGGTAGGCATCTGCTATAGACCACCAGACCAGGAGGATGGAGGTAGATGAGACTTCCTTCAGACAGCTAGCAGAAATTTCCAGATCACAGGCCCTGGTTTTCATGGGGGACTTCAATCACCGACATGCCTGGAGGGCAATAAAACAGTGCAAAGGCAATTTGGGAAGATTTTGGAGAGCACTGGAGACAACTTGCTGATGCGAGTGTTGGAGACACCAACTAGGGGCTGCGCTCTTCTTGACCTGCTGTTCATAAACACAGAAGAACTAGTGTGGGATGAAGAAGAGGATGGCAACTTGGCCAGCAGTGACCACGAGATGACTGAGTTCAGGATCTTGACAAGAGAAAGAAAGGAGGAGAGTAGCAGAGCATGGAGCCTAGATTCAGAAAAGTAACCTGATTAACTCAGGGAACCAATGGGCAGGATCCCCTGCGAGGCCAGCCTGAGGGGGAAACGGAGTCCAGGAAAGCTCGTTGTACATTAAAAGAAACCTTACTGAGACAAATAATCCCATTGTGCTGGAAGAATAGCAGGTACGGGAGGTGACCACCTTGCCTTAGCAGAGAACTCTTTGGTGATCTTAAACACAATAAGGAAGCGTACAAGAAGTGGAAGCTTGGATAGATGACTATGGAGAAGTATAAAAATACTGCCTGGGCATGAAAACAGGGAAGCCAAAGCACAACTGGAGTTGCAGCTAGTGAGGGACCTGAAAGATGATAAAAAGGATTTCTACAAGTATCTTAGCAACAAGAGGAAGGTCAGGGAAAGTGTAGATTCCTTACTGAATGGGGGAGGCAACCTAGTGACAGATGAGAAAGAAAAGGCTGAAGTACTTAATGCCTTCTTTACCTTGTTCTTCACTGGCCAGGTCAGGTCTCAGACTACTGCATTGGGCAGCACCATTTGGGGAGAAGGTGAAAGAAGGTGAAGCCCTCAGTGAAAGAACAGGTTAGGGACTATTTAGAAAAGCTGGACATGTACAGTTGGACACATACAAGTCCATGGGACCAGATGCAATCCATCAGAGGGGCTGAGGGTGTTGGCTAACTGCAGATTGCAGAGTTGCTAACCATTATCTTCGGAAACTCATGGCAAATCAGGGGAGATCCCAGACAATTGAAAAGGCGCATATATAGTGCTCATCTTTAAGAAGGGGAAGATGGAGAATGCAGGGAACTACAAACCACCTCACCTCAGTCCCTGGAAAAATCATGGAGCAGGTCCTTAAGAAATCTTTTTCTAAGCACCTGGAGGAGTAGAAAGCAATCAGGAACAGTCAGCATGGATTCACCAAGGGCAAATCATCACTGACCAACCTGATTGCCTTCTATGATGAGATGACTGCCACTGTGGATGCAGGGAAAGCAGGGAACGTGATATACCTTAACTTTAGCAAGGCTTTCGATACAGTCTTCCACAGCATTCTTACAAGAAAGCTAAGGAAGCATGGGTTGGGTGAATGGACTGTAGGGTGGATAGAAAGCTGCCTGGAGCATTGGGTTCAGTGGGTCAGTGTCTAGTTGGCATCTGGTATTAAGTGGAGTATCCCAGGGTTGGTCCTGGGGCCAGTTCTGTTTAATATATTCATTAATGATCTTGACGATGAGATGAAGTACACCCTCAGCAAGCTCATGGATGACACCAAGCTGGGGGGAGTAGTAGATATGCTGGTGGGTAGGGCTAGTATTCAGAGTGACCTAGACAAATCAGAAGACTGGGCCAAAAGATAGCTCATGAGATTCAACAAGGACAAGTGCAAAGTCATTCACTTAGGATGGAAGAATCCAGTGCACTGCTACAGGCTTGGGACCAAGCAGCAGCTCTGTAGAAAAGGACCTGGGGGTTACAGTGGACCATAAGCTGAATGAGTCAGTGTGCCCTTGTTGCCAAGAAAGCTAACAGCATACAGTTGCATTAGTAGCAGCATTGCCAACAGATTGAGGGAAGTACTTATTCTCCTCTATTCCGCACTGGTGAGACCACATGTAAAAGAGCCATATGATTACTCACAGTACTAGAGTACTGGTGTCCAATTTTGGGCCCCCCACTACAGAAAGGATGTGGTCAAGTCAGAGAGAGTCCAGCAGAGGGGAACAAAAATGGTTTGGGAGCTGGGGTACGTGATGTAGGTGGGAGAGGCTGAGGGAACTTGGCTTATTTAATCTACAAAAAAAACTGAGGTGGGGATTCGATAGCAGCTTTCAAGTACCTGAAGGGTTGTTCCAAAGAGGAACCGACTGTTCTTAGTGGTGGCATATGACAAACAAGGAGCAATGGTCTCAAGTGGCAGCAAGGAAAGTTTAGGTTGGATATATCAGGAAAAACTCACACTAGGGGGGCGATGAAGCACTGGAATGGGTTACCTAGAGAGGTGGCGGAATCTCCGTCCTTGGAGGTTTAAGGCCCAGCTTGACAGAGCCCTGGCTGAGCAGGGGGTTGGACTAGATGACTTCCTGAGGTTCCTTCTAACCCTAACTTTTTATGATTTAGATTACATATAATTTGAAATTGTTATAAATGAGGAGATGAGGAATGGAAGCAAAGAATGCTTATCTTGTATATACTGACTAAGTTGTTCTTATCATACAGTTGTTTTTATTTCATATAGTTGTAGCCGAAGTTTATTCCCCACTGTACATGAACAGTGACTTCATAGTTAAGGTTGCACTGGTGCTTTTATCGCAAACATTATTTTGACAAAAATTTACTATTTTGATCCAGGGATGAGACATTAAGAGAAGACAAAAATGCCATAAGCCTACAGCAGTTTTAAAGTTTACATTTAATTTATTTTGAAGCAGTAATTCAGTATTTTATAAGCCTGGAAAAATTATTAGTTTGCACATCTAACAACATTGAATTGAAGTCATATCGTTAATTCTAGCTATTTTTTTTTGGAAGCAGGACTGACAGTTTCAGCTCACTAATACAATTTAGCAAGCCCTCCCTTCCCTCCCCACATCATACATTGCGCAAGCAGCCCACCCCCACCCTTTCCATGCACATAGCTTGGCTCCCCCCTGTTGTATGCAGGCAGCCCAGCCCCTTTCACGATGCCTTGCCCCAGGGACACGGGTAGAAGGGAAAAACCATGGGAGGGAGGGGATGTCCAGAGACCCTGACTACTGCAGCAGCAGGAGTAATGAGGGGAGTGACAGGTGGGTGGGAGCCCACAGCCTATGTTAACCCCTTGTGGGTTAACTAACCAACTAGCCAGCCCTGATGTACATCAGAAAG